TCGTCGTACACTGTTGGGCTGCTGGACTGTTGGACTGTTGGATATTTACAATAAAAATTTGCAAAAACGTGTTTATTTCATGTTTTATTAAAAGATTTTAATTTTAAACATTTTCTGAGAAAGTTAACTAAATCATTGTTATTTATGCATTGTCACATAAACGCCACAGCATTCTCAAATTCTGTTACTTTTATTTACAAACTAGAATATATACTACAACGTGTATAAAAAGATACCAAATAAACCTGAATAAGCTGCGGATATACTACGTACACTAAAATTCGATTGTCGTTTCAGGTCGCGTGTCGGACGCATTAGACACATGCTTTTGTGCCATTTCTTGTTTTTTTGTTGTTTTATAGTTTTTTCTCGGGTTAATCCCCTCCAACTGCACTTTTGCACATTTCAAAATAGTCAAAACTGCAGACGGAAGAACTCTCGAACGTGTACAATCTGAAAAGTTAATTACAAAGTTTAACAAAGAAAAATTTCAAACGCTCACGACCGACATATGAGTTCACAATTTTTCCTCGATTCAACAATACTACAATACTAGAGTACACTTAACACATTCGTGAGTGAGAGGGTGTTAATAGGGTGTAAATGTCACTTCTTATTGTGTACGATGTACAATGTATAACGTACAGTTTATACTGTTGGATTTACTTAAGATTAATTTTTAGTAAATTTTTACATTTCACGCATCAGATACTTTCTTTGTTCCCGACAATTTTTTGCTGTCCAACTGAAATGCAAAAAGTCACATTTAATACGAATTCAAATTACTGAATCATTCTAATGATTAAAGGTATGAGTGGGTGTTAGTAAGTCTAGAGATACTATCACACGTTGAGTTATTTGAACTGACATATGGGTTAGGTTTAAAAATACACAGCTTTTAGTAAAATTGTCTTTAAAGTTATTGGACTCAAGAACAATTCGACAGTTTTATTGGTTAATTAGTTCAAATACATATTATATTTATAGAGATTTTTTCAAACAGTAGTGAACTACAATAACAAAAATTTATTTCATATTATTTTAATTTGAATTTTTGGCTGACCATACAGTTGTTTCAAGTATTGCCAAATACACATCATCAGTGGTCTTCGAAATAATTCTTGTATTTAATTATTCGTAAATAATTTTTTGAGACTGCAAGTACAAGGAATCGAACTCGGGTCCTGCCAAATGTGAAGCTCAGAATCACCGCACCTTACACTTATATTAGGTTAAAGAATACAATTTCTTAAGAAATATACGACTGGTTTCAGTCGTTTGTCGGAATCAATTTAATATGAGTAGTAATATGAACATTAGGGATTCTCATGTTGAAGACAGAAACGAATTTGTCGAAATACGTATAGAAATATACTAATAGAAACGCTCGAAATAAAATTTATTATTTCTAAAAAAAACAAAACCGACTTTATCAACAACTAGTTCTGTAACGATTCTCTTTAATCTAAATTTTAACACCACGAGACAGTATTTTTTCAATTATGTGTAAAAAAAATTAAATCAAAACCTTCAAAATATAAATAATCCACTGGTCTTCGACGAGATATGTTCTCGATGCGTCTGAGATAGTCTTTTAGTAGTCTAAGATAATCTTTAAGTAGTCTGAGATAGTCATTTAGTAGTCTAAGATAGTCTTTAAGTAGTTTAAGACAGTCTTTTAGTAGTCTCAGATAGTCTGTTTGTAGTCTGAGATAGTCTGTTAGTAGTCTGAGATAGTCTTTTAGTAGTCTGGGATAGTCTTTTAGTAGTTGAGATAGTCTTTTAGTAATCTACGGTAGTCTTTTAGTAATCTGAGATAGTCTTTTAGTAATATTTTAGTAGTCATTTAAGATGTTAACGTGGTGTAAACACTTCAAATTTAAATACATGATCCATATACATATTTAATTACAAAAATATGTTATATATATATGTTGACACCATGTAAGTAATCATAAATATTTAGTCAGATTGAGGGTCTGAATCTAAAAGATCTAATATTTTCTTCTGAATTTTTCTTAGTTTTAATTTGAGGAATATATTTAATTATGAATTATTGAATTATAGAATAACGGTTTTCATAAGAGCTTACAAATTAAAATCCAAATAGTTTTGAGAGTATTCTTCAGCAATGTAATATCCAAATGATTTGAATTTATAATAAACGTATTTAATTTATCACGGCAAATTGCATTCCCTGTTAAAGTTTTTATTTTTTTTTATGCTAGAAAAATGCTTTATTTTTATTTTTTGCTTTATTTTTTTTATCTTTGCTAGAAAATAATTTATATCTATTTCAAAACCTCAGTATATGAATCTATCGTTGTATATTTCCACAGACAACGATATTTTATAGATATCGTATTTGGACGCATATAGCTTATCGATTCAAGTCAGTCTACGTGTTTTGTGCTAAAACTATATTTTCATTTAGTTTTTTTTATATTTAATTTAAGTTAATTTAGTTAAGATAGTGAAAAAAATATGATCCTATAAAGTTTAATATTACTAAAAAAGTATTTGTTATATTTTTTTGCGCAGGAAATATGTATGTTGAAGTAAAAATAATTGCGAAAAAGGGTTTAATATCTTTCCAAAATAACATACCACTTCAACTATTTGCATTAGAATTGTTGATGAAGTTGACTTTTTGACATTTGTTTGTTTACTAAAAATGAAATAAATATTTGGACGACGTTGGCTGTCAACAAAAGATTCGTTCTCAACAAACCCGTAGGAACAGCAGGGGAACGTCATAAAGCGCTACGAGTTTTATCGAAAAGGTGGTTGCAAAAAAATACAACGAACGGCTTAGATGTCGACAGAGTCAAAATTTACTGCCTTTAAGTATTTTTGTTTATTAAAGAGCTTAAGTAGCGAACCAGAGATAAGACATACCAACAGAGTATTAGAAGGACCACCACGATATAATAATAATTTTAATATATAAAACTGGTGTTGGTAAAAAATGTTTATTAGAAACTGCAGACGATATTAACAGTAAATTACGCAATAGCAATAACAACAACAATAGTTAAGGCACAAAAGACGGTTTCAAGGGAATCACGGAATTGCGTTTGTAAGTGTGCCTAGTGGATATTGTGGGTGTGCTCGTGCGGCAAAGACTACGATTTGAGATTTTGGAAAATACATCAAAAAGTAGCGCAAACAACAGTTTCTTTGATATTTTTTCCTTTGAGGGTTGTAAAGGAAAAATTAAATTATTTATTGCTTCAATTTTCAAAAACAGCACTATTTACGGTTAAGTGGTGCATATGGTGATCGACGGGAGTTCCGCTTTCCCCAGTAAAAATTTTTTTATATTCTCATAGAAAAACTATGTTACATGAAATCAGTAAAAAAAATCTTATTTTACTTCTGAAATATGAGCAGCCTTCGGTTTAATCAATTTTTAATGTAAGGGGTGTTACAAGGGTTTCTTGTAAACCACCCCACAAGCTCATCTTTCGCAATTATATTATCGATGTGCAACAAATGTTCAGTTTTATTTATAATTTGACATTTCTTTTGTTGTTTTGACAATTTCAATACAATATCTAATCAGGAAAGTTTGTAGTCAGGCGTGCGTTACAAATTATTTGTATTTAACTCCTGATAAGATTAGCAAAACAGGCAAAACTCCTTTTGATAAATCAAATCAACAATTTTAACATTTGCAAAAATGCACATTTAATAAAATATTATAAATTTTTATATGGAAAGATAAAGTGGGTAAATAGTGTTGGCAGATTATTTCAATAGAAATATTGATTACTAGCTCTTAACAGAGGGGTCCACTCTGCTACGAAAAAACATTTCTTGGCATTCCTTCTTGATGGTTAAGGATTTAATAGGCCGAACTCTGTGGATCCGATATAGGTTATTCTTTATATGTGTATTGTTGCGGAGCATCAAAAAGGGTATTTGTTCGCTTAGGCACTTCACATTTGCAAATGATACAGAAATTTCAAGTATGGATAATGCAAAACCTGTAGTGGCTAGTTATCTGGCATAAGGGACCATGACATTTTAGTATGATAATGAAGCTGAAGACTATTAACTATTTAATGATTTGTTATACAAATTTAAATTTGTTATATAAATAGAAAAAATTCTATCATAAACGAATGAAATGATTTGTTTGTAGCTCTCTGGCAACTATTTCTATAATTTAACTAAAACTAATAACCAAAGGCATCCAAAAACCACGTAATGTTTAAATTCTTTCTAAAATTTAATAAAATAGTTATAATTTGAACTAATGAAAATCAGAGACATAATTAAACCACGTCAAAATATATTTTATTTATTGTTGCCCATCACAAGTTTGTTTTCCTAGAGAAGTATTTCTTTGATTCTTGACAAAAATCAAAATCTGTTAATAATAAAAATACAAGTAAAAATAGCTCACTAGTACCTAAAATAATTAAAAATTATGAATAATTATATTTAACACAAATTTATGGATTCATTAACCTATAATTACTTAGAGTAATGTCGCAAGAATAGAAAATTATCGTGTTCTGGACTCACAGTGAAGCGGAGAATTGCAACCATATTAAGTCTTCTCTAGTGAGATAATAAAAGTATTTGTTTATTTATTATTTTTAATTTTTTGCTTACTGGAAAAAAACCAAGTTTGTTAATATTATATACAAACCGAAATTCTTAAATTGCGGAAATGATTAACCAACTTATGAAGTATTAACCACAAAAAGTCAATTAAAGAAAAATTAAAGAAAAATAAATAAAAAATAATGGTGTTAGGCATTGAACTGTAATATCACATTTATTGCACATTTGGATAAAACATTTACCTGGATATTCAGTTTCATTCTTGATTTCCGCAAAAGTTTGACTTAATGATGTGGCGAAAAACTTAGGTTCAAAGT